GGCTTTCAACATGAAGCCAGAAAATCGGGACTTTTTAAAAACACCCCGGGACACGGGACAAATTGTTAGAAATCGTGACTGTCCTGCTGAAATCGGGACGTCTGGTCACCTTATTTAGCTCAAGGACTATCTGTTTCCTCAGCCCCTAGTTCAGCCCCCAAACAGGATTACAGGTCCATAAATTAAAACAAGGAATGCCACAGCAAGTGATTCTAGCTTTTTGTCCAAATTCACAACTTTTAGCCCTGTTTTTTTCTTGCTTTTTGGCAGCCTCACAGGAAAGGAAAATACAAGACTAAAAGGACAAAGGCAACATGGAGGCCTCCTTTCCTCTTAAGGCTTAATGTTATATTCTTACATTTTGCTTCTGTTGTTAAATGCTGTGTATAGTTCTTTGGGACTGGAGTGGGTTGTATGAGTGAATGAGCAAGCAAGCCTCAATGGACAGGTCAGTTAATTTCCCTTTGCTCTTTTAATATCTGGATCCTTTGAAGTGGAATTTCCAAATGATTGCTAGAATTACAAAACTCCTAATAGACTTGATGGGATGATAACCAATCAATCTTTTATATGTATTTCAGCATAAAAACAAATTAAGAAATGAAAATACTAACAAAGTGTTTTTATAAAAAATAGTGTAATTAATAATATTAAGCAGAACTATTAATATTACTATTAATAACAGTGGCAGTGGATTAATTGGGACTAATAAATATGTGTACAGAATAACTCATATGAGTCAAACGTAGGAAATGTTGATGTCTTTATTATTACAGTCTTTGACAAGTATTGCAAGTAAGAGAAGGAAAACAGATAGTTAGAAAGCCCTCGCTAATAATTTGACATAAACAGCAAAACAACACAACTAAAACTTATAAAATTATAAAATAAAAGTTTCTCAAATCATGTTCAATGTTCTTGGCAGCAGTGCAAGAGGTTTGCTATTGTCCTCTTCAAGGAAGGTTTTTATTCCGATTTCTTAGCCTAGTTTATAACCCTGCGATTTCCTAATGGTTTCTCATCCAAATTGATCCTACCTTACATAGATTTCTGGTAATGAGCTAGTTTGGGCTAATGCTACTACATATGCTGTATAATATCTATTCCATAAGATTAGATTATATTGTAACATCACAAACATTGTAATGACTGCAAAAAAGAATACTATTAAGGTGTTTACATATTGAAAAACATTATTTCCAAAGCCATTGTAACTTTGAACAGTAATTAAATGAAGAGTACAAGATAGCACTTTTTATACAGAAATTGGAGAGATTATACAATTCTCAACGTGCAAATAATTTCCGTGGTTCACCGACAAAAGGGCGAATGACAAAACCGTGCCCGACTAAACCGCGTCGCTGATGTCATCAACAGGGCGACAACAGCGCGGAGACAGAAGCACGCTGTCAACCCTAAACCTGAACTTAACCCCTAACCCTAAACCTAACCCTAACCCTTAACCTAACCCTAAACCTAATCCTAAACCTAACCCTAAACCTAACCCTTAACCTAACCCTAACCCTTAACCTAATCCTAAAACTAACCCTAAAACTAACCCTTAACCTAACCCTAA